GGAAAGTGGAATTTCCACCACTGGTGCCAGGCTAGCAACAGAGATGATTTATATGAATTTTCATTAACGGCTTTTATTTATCGAAGCAATCCGCACTCATATTCTCAATACTTGTTTTGAAGTACATCCTACATTTTGGATATTCGAACCAGTTCCAGTGTTGTGGTCGTGGGGCAACAAGATCACTCTGAAAAATATAACTGCGTTCCATACAAGGGGTGTAAACACTCGAACGCTCCACACAGATATATTTAAGAATCCACACATCTGCCTTATAGCCATCTGGCAGCTCAAAGCTATGGCGCTTGCTGCTTTTCCCAGGCAGTCCTACAGCCAAGGGCTTAGGAGGGTCACCTCTGCGTTTGCTTCCTAGATCTGATTTTTATTTTATTTTGGTCAAACTTTGTACACGATTATAATGAGGCGGATAAACACTGCCTCTTAATAGTCGAGGTTTTGTGGGTTAGATCGCGTAAATGTATAAATGTGTCGTTAAACCCGTCACCACCCGACACAGCCAACTAGTAAGGGTTGTCACGTTAACAGAACGTGGCCAATTCGTCACTAGTACAGCACACCGGTGTGTGTTGGAGAGCCAACCACGAGCTCGCAATGTCCTGATCGTGGCATTGTCTTTGTGCTGTTCGCCTTTTGGCGTCTTCTGGTCTAACACCGTTTGAGACGAGGTTCTCAAGAAAGCTGTCTCTGGTGTGAACCAATCAGTTTAAAGACAATGCATCATATACCACCAGAGCATGTGTTTTTGTTTGCATGTTCACCACAAGTATATGTGGTTAATGCAGACATTACTTGCAAAGGGTTGCTGTTTTGTTTTTTTAACATCTTAACAGTTGTTTGATTTTTCGATTTAAAGCTTTCGTGACTGCAGGGATTCATCTTCTTGGTTTTTTCGGTAAAGTCACGTAGAAGGGAAGTAATAAAATAATAAAAATAAAACATAATAAAAAGTTGTTTGATTGCCAGAGAGGGTGAAACCTATTTTATATTTTGATACTGGACAGAGACGTCATACGGTGTTACTTTTTGCACTTGATACGTCAACTTTAATGTTAAAAATAACCAAAAGAGTATTTCATTGATATGACAGCTGCGGTTTTTTTTTTACTTTCTTGTGGGGATTGAAATGAACCACAAACATTTCACTTGTATGTCGACAGACGTGAGGATACGTGGTCATGTCAAAGTCTGAGTAACATGAAGACGTCTTAAAAGCTGCCTTGGAGTTTTTCATTATTTTTAAAGTATGCAGCACTGTCTAAAAGATGGCGAGGCAGTATCTATCATAGTGGAATGGATGTGCAATTCATGATATTTGAAACGAGGCACTTTATACGGTATTTGTGCTTCAGTGAACGAATGTGTAAGTGCATCTTTCACATCACTTTTTCTCGTAGTTAGTGTGTTTTAATGCCACCATGTTAATGTCCAATGCACGTTACGAAATCCCTCGGTTTGGGGAATAGAGGCTGATCGACAGATATAATAAAACATACATTTGAGACCAATAATCATTATTAAGAAGTAAAAATAATGATCTGCGACATTTTCTTAATTCACTGCCCCTTCCAAAGAGTATTCAGACAACTCTCTCCATCTCTGAGAGGGTGAACCAGTGACCTCTGGATTGCAAGTCCCGTGTGCTAACCATTACACCATGGCAACATACCTCGTATGTGTGTATGTTGAACTTCTTTCGCACCGTACGTAGCCAACCATGCTCATCGGAAGTGCGAATAAAAACCACGGCAATTAAGAAATACCACTCAAAGTTTTAGAGAGGTGGGTGCATAAACTCAAGTATTTTTTATTGCCTTGCATGATTCCCCCAACTCTTACGTCCAAAGTGCTGGACTATAAAGGTGCGGAGTTAAGTAAATCAATGCACACATTAGATAGCGTTCATGAAACGCCGAAAATGGTTAAGAGTCATACCGATGAAACAAGGTATTTAAGGCTGTTCAAAGTTGATCACTGTAGCCGGATCGTGTTTTAGAAATCCCTGACTTTCGTTTGTCATCTCTGTGGCCCTGCATTTGTGTCGCCCTCCGGTATTTTTTTGCTCCCGGATGCGTTCACGGGTTTGCACCGCGTGTCGTTCGGCACGGTGTCCGACGTTTTGGCTCCACATGCTGGGAGCTTCTTCAGGAACTGAATGGACTCATATTCTTCCTCCATGATGTCGTGGCCTGCCGCCGCTGCTCGTTTCCGGAAGGCAGCCGATGTTACTCATGAGATTCCCGCAAAGTTCGGTGTTGCAAAAAAAAGTTCAAGTTCATTTATTAGGTATAGCCCTGTGAGCCATTCGGCTCTTGAATCGGGTGCAACCGCAACAAACAAAAAAACAAAAACATGAACAAAAAAAACATCTTAAAGTGAATATGTGACTGAGTGCAAACAGAAAAAACAAGAAAAGACAGCAAAATATTGCAGAAATCCCAGTGGGATGCAAGTCAAACAACAACAACAACCACAAGACAACTTAGATTAAGGCCATCAGTCTAACTCTGTACTACAACAAACAAACATGGCTCAACCAATACACTTTTCGAAATCACCAAAATAAAGCCATGAAACCAATGCAAAAAAAAGGCAGCGCTGCAAAGTCGCTTGCTCTTCTGCATGCGAAGATTGTCGATTGTGATCGAGTTGCAAGCCTCGTCCACGTTGATGTGACGAGGCGACTTCAGGACGTGCGTTATCCAAGAAGCCGTCGGCACGTGCAAGCGAGGCGGACAACACATCGGAGAAGCCACACACGGCACGACTGCAAGAAACAAACTCCACGAATTTTCGATTTAAAGCTTTTGTGACTGCAGGGATTCATCTTCTTGGTTCTTTCGGTAAAGTCACGTAGAAGGAAAATAATAATACTTGAAAGACCTGTTCTCCACCTGAAGACGGCTGCTTGCGTTGTGGCCGAAACGTCGTGAGAATTATTTTATTATGTTTTATTTTTTCTTATTTTATTATTTTCCTTCTACGTGACTTTACCGAAAGAACCAAGAAGATGAAACTCCACGAAGTTAGAACACTTGCCTTTCACCAACACCCGCGTTTGACTGAACGCTGAAAATCCATAGGTCCAGTGATAGCTCTGCCTTTATTAACGGCGATGTAACACATCTGGTGTCAACTGTGGGCAGCTGCAATTGTGATTAACAACGCGTGTAGATCCCCTGTCCTATTAATGAGAAGTGAATTAACGTGGGACATTGTCCAGAAGCGTGGGAAGCCCAATGGCTGCTACGTTGTGTTTATATTGTTGAATGGGTTTGCTGGTAGATTCCTTCAACAGTTCCACTCAATCAATATTAACGGGCCACTGGTATTTTTCAGACACTATCCAGACACAAAGTTTGGCGATTTCCTCGTATTTTTGGAATGCGCTGGCTGTATTTCAACGCATTCAATCAGAACATTTAAAATACCACACTGCAGGAATAATTCTAGATTTGAAGCTTTCGTGACTGCAAGGATTCATATTGTTAGGTTTTTCGGTAAAGTCACGTAGGTTAAAAATTAAAATTAATAAAAGTAAAATAAAAATAAAGAAAAATCACGACGTTTCGGAGGCAACACAAGCTTCCGTCTTCAGGTGGAACCGTCACAGCACGATAGCTGTAACAAGCTACATGGGAGTGAAGCATTTTGGTTTGTGAACCTGGTGATCCCCAGTCACGGCTAACATCAGTGGCGATTTATGCCTAAGCTGGTCCATGGCCCCAAGGCCGTTCAACCCGCAATGACCAACGTGATGAAATATCGCCCAGCAACCTCCAGGACTGACACGGTGAATATAGGGAGACCATTCAGCCGTGGATTCACAAAGCGCGTGCACGTGCACGTTATAATTCACGAGCCTTTTGCCCGTACAAGGACGGGGGTGTATTGCAGTAAATCTGAAACTTGCAAGCGAAAAGCAGACCGCGACGTCATATTCATTGCATCCAATCGTGTGCAATTTGTAAGGGCGCGGTGACACAGACTTAGTTCATTTAAAGGTTATAATCCCTTGTTCATCATGACGTCCTTTTTACTTTGATGTCTCAACAGCGTTACGAAGACCACGTGACGTGAGGGTTCTGCCTTTGTAGTGAGGGTTGTGAGTTGACGCCGAGGAGGGGGGAGGAGGCGCCTCGGCCCCCCATGTGGAGTGACGTCACCTGCTAATTATTATTAATGAGGGGGGGGGGCGTCCATGTGGAGGACGTCAGCTGTTCATGATTATTAATGAGGGGGGCTGTTCGATGTGGAGTGACATCACTTACTCATGATTATGAATGAGAGGTGGGGGGGGGGGTCCATTTGGAGGACGTCACCTGCTCATGAATATTAATGAGGAGGGGCTGTTCGATGTGGAGTGACGTCACTTGCTCATGATTATGAATGAGAGGTGGGGGGGGTCCATTTGGAGGACGTCACCTACTCATGATTATTAATGAGGGGGGGCTGGTCGATGTGGCGTGACGTCACGAGCGTAAAGGATATTCCTGGGTGATTATAATAGGTATAGTAGACTACATTGAAAGGCATCAGTCAATCAACACACTGTGTTAGAATATTCACGTTTTAACTTTTGTTAAACTAAATATATGCACACATATACGGTAATTATATCAGTGCACACTATATATAAAAAAACTGGATAAAATTGTCTCCAGTTATGTTCTACAAAGCGGGCCTTGAATGCAGCACAGGGAATTGTAAAATTGCTGCCACATTTACAGATTGTTCACGGCTGATAACGGAAAGTACCTCAGGTCTGCAAACTTGTTTAATTCGGCTTTTGCAAACAATGTTCTGTGCAATCTCAACGACCTTTAGAGTGTTACGAAACCAACCAAGACAATGGCCGATGTACTTCCACGCAATTTTATTGCGGACAGGTTTCTTTTCTGCCCGATATCATTTGCATGTGCGTGAGTTGTTAGACAGGAACCTTTCGCAATATATCGATGGTAAGCACACAGCTCGAAACGGAACGGCGCTTTCGGCTGGGTTGTCTTGTTTGCACTGAGCGACGCAACCTGCCAGTGCAGAAGTGAAATCTGCCGGCTCGTGTGGGAGGAGTCTTGACGTGGGATGATTTGTAGCAACAGCCCAAAAAAAAACACGCCTCCCTCTAAGCAACATTAGCACGCACACACAGAGAAGAAGAAGCGGTAAGTTCGAGACACAGAACCCACAGGCGAGACGCACTCGTCAGCGCTCGTGTGTCCGAGGCAAGCGCGGACACACGATGTGACTTTAATGTTCGAGCTAGCTCGCAAGACGGGAGTGTGTCGGGAGTACATCGCTAACCCGTTTGCGTTTGTCGGACGAGGAGAGGGCGAAGTGGGACTGTTGAGTGAATTTGTCAGATTTTCCCACGTCGAAAGGAGTAAGGTGAGCAATTATTTGTTGTACGCATCTGTGTGAGCGTTTCGTGGACGGTATTGGACCGCGTGTTGAATTAAAAAGACGCGTGCTTTTGTTCATCTTGTTTGTCGACGCAAAGCTGTTGATTCAAAGTCCGTATTTTAATCGGGTACGTTTGATTCCCCTTCCTGTGTTGCAAGTTCATCAAAAAGCTCACACTGCCTTCCAAGTGGGCTTACAAGCATGAGAGTGTGAGAATACCCCGACTGCTCTGATCAACAAACAAGACATGCGTATTCGGACTTTACTGAGAATATCTTCACCTGCACGGCCATTATATGTTGTAAGTGATTGTCCGCAATTGTATTTTTACTCACCAGCTTCAGGCATATTTGTCATCGTAGTTAAACGAATTTGCTTTAAACAATGGGAAAAAATTCAAAGGGCCATGCTACCAGAATTTTCTGCTGGAGATGTAGTGAGTTGAGAGATGGATGCAAGGTGTATGTATGTTTAACTTCTTTTGCACCGTACGTAGCCAACCGTGCTAATCGGAGATGCGTGGAAGATAGAGAGGTACGAGAGGGGATTTGATCTTTGGCTAATAAGTTTATTAGGATTTGAATTTTTTTTTTCAACAACCTGTTACCCTTTTAGCGACTTAGGTCCATCAGCTTTTGCTTTGTTTTCTTGGTTATGTCCTCACACCACCACTGCTGCAATACTCTGCATTATATCTATTTTAAAATCTCCAAATCGTTAATCTCTGATTTCTTTTTCCCTCAACGTGCCGTGGCTTATTCGTCAAGCTTCTCTCATGAACAAAACATTGCAAGCACGGTTGTGTTACTTGTGTAACAAAGGAGCCTTGTACATATACTCATGTAATATGTACTCTGCTAAGAGTGGAAAATGTAGCAAAGACATAAACATTTACTATGTTAAATGGGGAAAAAAACTAATATGTTACTTGACATGTGCTTGGCTTGATGGAAGTCGCAAAATGTGCTTTTCAAAATTGTCAAGATTTTGATGTATCACTGGCCGATGTGTATTTACAGAATGAGATGGCGTTGTGGCCAAACCAGTTGTTGCATACCTTCTTTTGGCAAAAAAGGTTGTCCAAGCAAAAAAAAACTATAGCGCACTGATTCTAGTATCAGTGCTTTAGCGCATTGATTCTATTGTTTTTTTGTATCAGTGTGCTGCATTTAGTTGTTTGACAATCGCTTGTGCTTCGTCAGTAACTATGTTGTCAATATATATATCCTAACCTCGTTTTTAATTCAACTTCAAAACAGAGTTGGACTGAGTCACCATTCATCCAGCCAAATACTCTAAACGCGTGATGTTGATGCTCAATGTGGAGGGGAAAAACCGGAGGACCAGGAGAACAATCCACGCCACCAACGGGAGGGAGACATGCAAACTCTAAATATAGACACGTCAAGTTTGAGATTGAACCTACGACCTCCCGCATACCGGGAGAAAGAGATAATATCTCGGCCAGCACCAGGATTGGGTTACTGTGCAAAGACCTGGTTTGCCCAATGGCCCACTCTAACCCTGCCTATGCACTTAATTCAGGTCATATCTTGGCGTCCTGTGCAGTGATTTGTGGGATGTTTTTCCTTTAAAGGCTAACGGTGGGGTCATCGGACATGGGTGCCCATATATCAGCTTGAGCGCTGTATTGTCATTTGAAATTCGAGATTTCTCAAAGCTCTCCAAATGTGCAGTGTTGATCGATTGCAATGAACGTTGACGCTTGTTGAGATGTCTGCTAATGTCTGTCTTGTGTGTGAGCCTGAAAAGTAACACGGTACTTGTGATATTGACATTTTTAGATGTTGATGCTTCTGCTCTGCACGCATGTCATTAAGGTGAGAATCAATGAAAGGAAATTGCTCCAATTACATCTGAACATTTATGAGATACATATTGGTCACAAAACCCCACATGTTTTATGTAACTACATATAATGATATTTGTTTTGTTTCAGGGAAATGTTGATAAGAGAAATTTAAATTGTAATAAAATGATCGATGTCAAGGCAAGACAATATATTGATGAATTTGTAAGTATATGAATTCAGATCAAGCACATATTACATAAATATACATTGTTACATAAAAGCGTATATATAAAATATAACATGAATAAAATACCAGATTAACACAGTGAACACATTCGCGAAAATCTACGTGTTAAACTGATAGTGAACACATTCAGTGGAATAATGAAATATGTTGAATTCCATGCCAATTTTATGTTAACCATGTAAGCAAATACATTAAATAGCAGAGACTTTGAAATGCATTGCAATGTCTATGTAAATACAAATGTATATGGCCTTGTACATGTTATGCCAATGTCCTTTTAATGTCAATAATAATCATGAAACGTCGTGGAAACTGGATCGTTTTATTATTTCAGAGCATCCTTTTAATGTCAATAATAATCATGAAACGTCGTGGAAACTGGATCGTTTTATTATTTCAGAGCAAAGGCCACGATAAAAGACGTCCTATAAATTATCTTCAAGTGAATTATACATTCTCAAATGAGGTAAGCAACCACTACCGCATTTAAATTCGACATTCACATATACTGTATGTTTGTTTGTTGAAATTGCCTTATTTGACTTTTGCAAATATTTTAATCGATTCTTTTTTTTTTACATTTATAGGAGAAAGACTGTAAGAGCATCATCAATATTTGTTTGATAAGAATATATTTTCACGAATACAAAACTAATGTTGGAGAAGGGTCATGTCCTCATGAAATCACATCTTACATTTCTGAAGCGTTAAATGATGGCTGTAACAACACGTTCAAATTGGTAAGTTGGAAGCATCATTTTAAATGAAAACAACTTCATCGTTGATTCAATGTAAAAAAAAATCATCAGGAGCTGATATTAAATTATCTGAGCTGTACCGGCATATGTCCACAAATTTTATAACTATTTGTTTTTTTACCAAACACCTTCCCATTTAATTTGTAAATTCGAGCCCAGTTTACCACGTGACTTTAGTACATGTTTGTGAGTAATTATGCATATATCAACACAATGTATGCAACATGTGGATGTATAAGAACAATTATTTTATATTAAATAATTGTGCATTTCAATCAACTTTCCATGTTTAAATATTTTATTATTGGTGTAGAGTTGTGGCACTGTGATTCGAGTGCTGTTCTACGCACCCCGTGACTTGAGTTACATTTTGCGCTGTGAGTCCATAGGCCCAGAACACATCTCTGACTCGCCGATATTACTCCGAGGTGGAATAACTTTAGTAGTTCCAACGTCTTTATGTGACCAAGAACATCGAATTATGTGATGACAATTTTAAATGAGTGGGTTATCAAATGAATCACTCTCATTAGCCATGCAAATTCAACAATACTGCAAAAGTTGTGCTACCTTAGGTGGTACCAGTTTTCTGCTCTGACCCATTGGACACATAGATAACACCATTGGTTATATCTGAACTGGTCTTGGACCTCCCCCACCTTCACCAACTCATGCTGACCAGCGTGATGAAATATGGTATGGGGAAGCCATCATAGGGCATAGATTGGCAAAGGGCTGTACTTTCTAAGTGTTTTTTTAGTTTTGCAGCTCAGGTTAGCTACCTGCATTTGTAATGTAAAATGAATCTATTTAGATACATTAATGGTATTGGTAGTAATGTTGGTTTTATGTAATCAATTATGAAATGTTGAATTTAATACGTGTCAACGTTGTAGCCGGGCTTGCAGGAAATGAACAGCAGGTACTTGACTAACGTTGAAGAAAATCTGGACAAGTTCATGGTCCATTTTAACTCAACAATAGAGCGAGTTGAAGAATTCTTGAAGAGATGTCCTGACAACCTTAAAAAGAATGAAGCTGTTTGCACAAATGTTATGCGAGTAACTACCGGTAAGCGGATATTACTTTTGTCGGCACAAATGTAAAATGTACACTTGTTCCAATTGCACTGGTGATTGTTAACTAGAGAATCGTACACAGTAATTATAGGTGAGTAATTTATTTACGAGGCAATTACAAGCTAATGACAAAATTCAGCACTGATCAATCACGTACACACAAACACTTAAACCAGATCATGTGCCTATGGCATAAAACATCATGCACGTTATAAAGCTGGCAAAATTAAAATTAATAATATACAATGCATTCAATGGACCTTTATTTTCAACATCACCCATTTGTGAATTTGCCACCACATCACTGCAGTTTGCAGCACTTCATGTACTAAGCATTGATTATTATATGGTAGCTCGAAGAAGAATTTTGATCACCATTCAGCCATCCCACCCCAACCCCTAACCTCCACAATTACCCAACACGACCTAAAAAACGCATCCAGAGGAAGGGACGGGGGGGTGGGGGGCTTAACATAAAGAGGTGGGGCCTAGTGAGTAAGGGGCAGGGCATACCCATGAAGAGGGCGGGATAAATATTAAAAGGGCGGGGCATGAATATGAAGGAGGTGGGGCCTAAAAAATAAATGGTGCCAGAGCCCAAGAGCCAACAGTCTTGGCCTCGTCAGGATGGGTTGAGGCCTGGGGAGTAAAGAGAGAGGCTTTAAAGTGGCATGAGGTAAGGAGTTTCGCGAGGTTGAACTTCCCCGTTGAGTTAAGGTCAAAGTGTAGAATGAAACACGTGCAAGCAAGCAGACAGCATGGCTTGAACTCCGCAAATGCGACCACAGGTCACCCAGTTACGGAATAGTTATATTTAAAAGTCCTCCATTGATTTCCCCAAAGAGTAAATAATTGGATTTAAATTCCAGTACTTTCCTCAATCCTTTTAGATTTGTGGACGTCAACATATTTCCAGGACTATAATTATTAACAATTTATACTTAACAAAGGCTATTTCCAATGTCTGTGTTCATTCTTTGTGTATATGCTTATGCACTTTTTACGACCCGTCTAGTCCTGTGCTTGTAAATACACGAGTACATACGAGGGCTCTATCTTATAAATGAAGGTCATAACGCACAATTGCGTGGAGTGGTGGAGCAGGAAGGTTGTACATTGTGCTGCGAACCTGTCGACCTGAGTTTGATTCCCTCCACCCTCTCCCCTTCACCAACCCGCACTGACCAGCGTGGTCAAGTATTATCAAACAACTCTCCATGACCGATGTGGGGGGGGGGGGCATGGGTAAACCTTCATCCGGTAGTGAATGAATGAAAAAAAAACGTGTCTAGATAATTTCCCCACATCAACGGTGACGTTTTGCTTTTTTCAGATGGTGATCCTCATACGGAAACGTATACGAAAACATACGCAGTGGCATTGACAACGTCAGGTGTTGGTGAAAAAAAAAAGACCACAACACAAGTTGATTGCAATGGGTGTTTCACTGGCGAGTGTAATGTTGACGGAAAGAGGCGGGGCTAATGAATAAGGGGGCGGGGCATAGCAAGGGAAAGGGCGGAGCTAAATATTAAGGGACGGGGCGTAACGATTAAGGAGGTGGGGGCCTAAAAAAAAAAAATTCTTAGAGCCAAAATAGCCAAAAGTTGTGGCCTCATCAGGGTGGGTTTGAGGCCTGGGGGGTACAGGGGACAGGCTCTAAAGTGGCGTGAGGCAGGGCGTACAGAGAGGTTGTACTTCCCCGTTGAGTTTAGGTCAAAGCATAGAATCAAACACGTGCTGCTAAGCAAGCAGGCAGCGGTGGCTTTAGCTCCGCAAATGCGGCCACAGGTCATCGAGTTACTGTTATAGCCATTTTCTTAAAGTTCTCCATCAATTTTCGCCAAGAGTATTTTGTTGGGATTCATCAAAGTCAATTCCAGTGTCTTGCTCCGATTTCATGACATTCGTGGACATTAACGAATTTATTGAACTATAATGAACCGCTTATTTACACAAAGGTTCTATCTAAACTGTTTATATTAATTATTTGTGTGTATGCTTTAGCACTGGCCAATCCAGTCCTGTCCTGTGCTCGTAAATACACGATTACACACAAGAGCTCTATCCTATAAATTAAAGGCATGCAATATAATTGCGGGGAGTGATGGCGAAGGGAGACGATCGTGCATTGTGCTGCGTCGAACCTTGCCACCTGAATAACAAGTTGTTGGCTTTTGTGACCTATATCCATAATAGAGGTTTTTGGGTTAGATCGCGTAAATATATAAATGTGTCGTTAAAACCCGCCACCACCCGACACAGCCAACTAGTAAGGGTTGTTGCGTGTTGGAGAGCCAAGCCACAACATTTACAAACTGAGTACCACGTATTCTTGGTTCTTTCGGTAAAGTCACGTAGAAGGGAAATAATAAAATAATATAAATATAAAACAATAAAAATCCACAGCAAGAAAATTTTCTTGCTGTGGATTTCACACCGGGTGATGATTGCTTGTGTTGCAGTCGAAACGTCGTGATAATTTTTATTGTTTTATATTCATATTTTTTTATTATTTCCCTTCTACGTGACTTTACCGAAAGAACCAAGAATTTGAATCCCTGCAGTCACGAAAGCTTTAAATCGAAATTTGAGTACGACGTGTCACCAGTAATTACAACTAGCTTCATCATGAAGATAGTTGTACTCAGATTGTAAATGTTGTGGCTTGGCTCTCCAACACACCGGTGTGCTGTACTAGTGACGAATTGGCCACGTTCTGTTTGCGTGACAAACCTTACTAGTTGGCTGTGTCGGGTGGTGGCGGGTTTTAACGATACATTTATATATTTACGTGATCTAACCCAAAAACCTCTATTATGTTTGCCACCTGAGTTCGATTCCCTCTACTCCTCCCCATCACCAACCCGCACGGACCAGCGTGGTCAAGTATCGTCAAACAATTCTCATGACCGATGTGGCATGGGTCAACCTTCATTCAGCAATGAATACAAAAAAAAGAGGTCGAAATAATTTCCCACGTTAACAATCCACTCTTTTTTTCGTTTTTTTTTGCAGGTGGCGGTCCTCACACGGAAACACAAATAGGGACATTGACAACGTCAGATGATATTAAAGCATACAAAAGCATCTTGATTGCAACGAATACATCATTTTCGATCGTAATACTTATACTATTGATCATAGTGTTAATAGTCTCATGTCTTCTGTTTCGTGCAAGGTAATAGCGGCACGAACGCAACTACATTTGTTTGCAGCTGTGTTTGATTCATTTTGCCACCGGTAACATTGCAGTGATCTCCATGGCAGCATTACCATCAATAATTATAATCCTCCACCATCACGATGTGTTTACTGCTGTGTGCAGTGGCACACACTTCACGTGGCCTCAAGGTGCACATGGCCTGGCACAAGCGTCGTGGTGACGTCACCGCCACTTAGTGGCGAATGGCGGTTGTTGCAGTGGCACATGCCAGTAAAATAACACTTTTGAGCTAGGGGAGGTGGATCACTCAAACGTGTGTGTGACTGTCTACCTGTTCGACAATAAGGTGGACAGCAAGTGGGTTGCTGGGCAATCTTCCACTTTCTATTTGTAGTTATCATCTTAAATATTCGTGAGTTTTTTTTTTGTAAATCTTGCCGACAGTTTCACGATTTAGCAACACGGGATCCTCATGTCAACGAGCTGCGAATTTATTCTAATGGTGATATCGACATCGGGTCGTATGATAAGGAATCCATGAGGAAATATTACAGCAATTTAACTTTTAAGTGTCACAGAAAGCCTGCAAGGGAAGATTTTTTGTCACAAGGACTTACGTGAAATTCTCTATTATTTACGCAATTAGGCCAGGGGGGAGGGGCGGGGTGAAGGTGCACTTTCCCAACACATTCTGCAATGAGATCGGTGCATGACAGTCATATTTCACCAAATCAAGTGCAAAGCAAAATTATTAACTTCGTTATTTTATTTTCGTGCAGTCATCAGTGACCAGGCGGAGACCATCGAGCCCTTACGCTAGAGAGCCACGTTCAACCACATCGACTTCTGAGCCACGCGGCTAACACTGTTAAAGTGATTTAAAGCTTTCGTGACTGCAGGGATTCATATTCTTGGTTCTTTCGGTAAAGTCACGTAGAAGGGAAATAATAAAATAATATTAATATAAAACAATAAAAATGATTCTCACGACGTTTTGACTGCAGCACAAGCAATCATCATCAGGTGTGAAATCCACAGAAAGAAAATTTTAAAAAAGTGAAAATTTGAAAAAAGTGAAAGCACTTTTTTCAAAATTTCTTTCTGTGGATTTCACACCTGATGATGATTGCTTGTGTTGCAGTCGAAACGTCGTGAGAATTTGTATTGTTTTATATAAATATTATTTTATTATTTCCCTTCTACGTGACTTTACCGAAATAACCTAGAATATACTGTTAAAGTGCTTTCACGCGAGAGATATGGCTAAATAAATACACATCACTTATACAATTTAAAATTTTATCGCTAAAATTGGCGACTGTTGCAAGATGCAAGCCATTTTAATCTTCAATAATTAAAAGCTGTGTGTGTCGTATCCAGGCTGCATGAGGTTAATATTAACAAAACAACAATATAATTAAATCTCAGCTATCAATATTGCAATTACATTAAATATCAAACAACATTAGCACATTAGTTACGTAGAATACATGTATCCAGGTGGCGCTATGGCAAGAACATTTAATCGCAGACCGTTGCGGGTAGAATGCCATATTGGGGCCTAATTGAGCGTATCAGCGGTCTCGGATTGGTTCACGTAGCAGTGTGTAGAAAGACAGCATCGTTTGCACTCCGGTGGGACAGGCACTGTCCATGTGAATGTGGATTTTCCACCAGTGGTACAGGGCTGCACAGCGGTGATAAGCACTGCCTCATTGTTTGCTTAAACGGTGAGACACTTTGAGCTGACTTGAAAACAGATGTAAACACACGATTAAATGGCCATCCAGGTTATTACTTAATGACCCACATTGTGTGTCGAACGATACGCCAACAAAATTTTTAACTGCGTTGTGTCTGGAATGGCAGGCGCAGACAAAAGGCTTCAGAGGGACATGGATCCCAGCATGAAGAAGAGGGAAATGAGATAGATCCAAGGCCCAGCACGTGTGATCAAAGTCTTCAACTTGGTCATTTGCAGCAAGAAACTTCAAAGCATAAAAGACGCGGACAACAAAACCACAGACGTTGGCTCTGATGAAAATCATCAATTGGAGGCTCCTGTACAGTCTCCTGCCTCCTTGTAGGGCGAAACACCTGGGATGCGGTGAGGTTGCACTGCCTAGAAAGTCCACAGGTGAAACTGCTCGACGAAGGTGTACATGTTCACTGAACACCGCAAAAAATGGAAACCAAAATAAACCCACCCTCTACGACTTTGAAGGCAATCATCGACAGCAAGCGTCTGCCTTGACATGCATTGACGCCCACGTGTGTGGAGAAGAGGGACGTGACACGAACTGCTGGCAGTGCCACACGTCCACGAAGCCGCCCGAACGTGTCACCCAATGGCATCAGCGAGAAGATATCTGCCTTCGATATGAAAGCCTTCTGACAAAAACTAATTTTAAAAAACACCCCTGAGAGAGAGATAGAGCGTGCAACGAACGACAAAGATCCCTGCAAAGAAGAGAACACAGATACGGCATCAAAACTGCGACGGTGGTCCGGGGTGAATGGTGACCGGCTGCAAAGGAAGGCGGTGATGGAGCAAGACCGGGATCTGAATGGACGTCAATCGTCGGGACACTGGACGGGATGGAAGCTGGCTCAGTTGAAAGGTGCAGCGACGGAGACAGGGAGAGCATGGCAAGGAGAGATGAGCAATGGAAACTGGTCACGCCTCAACAGCTCAAGGCACCGAAGAACGAGTGGAAGATGAATGACAACGTGAAATATGGGTTCAGCTTGGTTTTGCACAACTATCAACTCGAAACATCAGTTGAACTTCAATTGTTTTTTTCACAAATCACATTCTGGATAACTGAGCGGAACGTGCAACTTTTTAACAACACTGCAACTTTGTGTTGAAGATGGCAACGATATGATCAGATAGAAAAAAAACCATCCAGCCATTCAGGTTTACTTAAACCTTGACACTGAAAATAAAGAAATGCTTACTCAATAGCACTCTGCCTAAATACCACGTACAAATACCTCTTAAATATGTATATTTTTGTACTTTTTTACTTGGTCAATCTGACTATTAATAATGACTTGTTTCAGTTTTAAATCCGTTTGTGAATGACAGCAAATGCAATTACTCTCTATCTCATTAATGTCACTCCAATGTAAGTTTCTCCTACATATAAGAAAAAAACAACCTAACACATGAGTCTGTAACACTGGCGTCATGATGGGGCAGGGTTGTTGGTGAGTGTGTTGAGTTGTTTTGCTATGTGTGCTTGTGCATTACTCTTAAAGTAATACACGTGTTTCGTCCATAAAACACTCCCTTAGAGGCAACTGACGTCACATATGCTTCGCATTGTAACGCTTTATTAAAAAGCAACGGACGTTTTATCCAATATAGCCCACACAATAGAGCTCATGTCTGCGTGCACAACGTTCATGGACAACGATTGTATCTATAATTATCAGATCCAAACCACGTATCGAATACACTCCTTCATATTGCGTCCACGTGTGCACGACGTGTAAGCTCAGCTCACTGAGCTATGTAGCTCTTTTTCGGAAGCGACTTGGCCACAAATGCGAGCTCAACGAAGTGGCTTATCACGTGGAATGTATAAATGTGCAGGGAAAATCCGGAGGTACCCGTATAAAAATCCAAGCCACTACGAGGAGAGAGAGAGAGAGACATGCAGACTCCAAATATACAGCAGGCGTCAGGGTCGGGATCGGGATCGAACCCACGACCTCCTGTATACCGGGCGAGGTAGTTAACATCCAGCCACCATGGCACCCTTTGTGGAAGTAGTACATTATATTTGAACGCGTGTGTCTTCCCCACTATATGCCAGTAACAAATGGTGAACCAAGTGATTAAATGACAAGTAATTGAGGCAACTGCTATTACGAGAAAACTTACATCGATAAAGTCCATTTCCACGGCGGTCATAGCTCTATAACAAAAAAAAACATCTGGCAAAGATATTCAAATAAATGTTTTAAAAACTGCCTGACATGTAAAATGTATGTGTTTTATTAAATAGTTAAGCTTGGAATTATTAATTATTAATGAATTATAATTTCAACCAAACTGTTCAGAAAGAGAAAATAAGGTATTTGATGTGTCATGCGGCAAATGGAAATTGTTGCTAAAATGTGAGATTCACACTGTACAATGAGTGACTATAATTCTATTAAATTGTAATTATTGAAGCGTCTTACACCACCAATTCTTCGTGGCACATTCAAGTCCAACATTTATCCATGATCACAATGTAAAATAAATGTACAATTGTTTGTAAACGTTTACTATGTGAATGATTAACAGTGAATTCTTTAAACAATTATTTATCACCATCATCATCATCATTAGCCAATATCTTTCCACTGCTGGATGAAGACCTCCCCAACACTCTCACCATACCTCATAGCCCATCTAATCCCTGCACAAAAAAAACTGATTTCATCGCTCCACGCGGCTTCCATTCTGCCAGTCTTGTCTATTAGGCATCATCTCTCCGAGCAGAATAAGAATCGTTATTCATCCAGTCGGGGCACGGGGTCAGCACGTTACAACAATAAACAACACAAAAACACGATCGGAGCGCAAAGTATAGGAAAGGTAAACAGATCAGTTAAAACATATATACAAATAAAGCGAAACAATTTTGTTTTATTTTACCAGCAACGTGTCCTAACCAAGCCCACCTATTTTCCTTAACAGGTGCATGTGACGAAGCATATTTATCTCTCCATGCACGGTTGTGTATTGTTCAGCCTTTTCTTCCACCTTCATTGTCATTGTTCTTGCTTCTAATCCATGAGCAAAAATAATGCACTGATTGTAAACCATTCTCCTTTTGTCAAATATGTTTACTTATTTAAAATATATACCAATTATCCGTGGGCTTTGGACACATTGTTTGAATGGGAGACATGTTGATAGATTTATCGAAGTTATTTCATTAACAGCTCAGACACCTCGAGACGCAGCCCTGTGCCAGAAAATGTGTCTATTGACAAAATGTTTTTGTTCGTTGGTGTGAGATTTTTCTTTTAAATCAGTTTATGAAAAAGAACCCAAAATGCCAAGAGGGTAGCAATAAGCAGGACTGTCGAAGCAGTTGAATTATACATCTGCAGTGACATTGGGGATGTCACTGTGTGGTGCCGGCCCTGGAGGGCCGTGGCGTGCGATGTCCCTACAACGCGGACACCCCGTAGGTGGGTGTAGTACCAGCCCTAGCGGGGCTTGGTTAGCGCTGGGATAGCGAGGGCACCACGCATGGCGTGCAGCAGAGGTCGCAAACGGGTTTTGATTCCTTACCCGTACCCGGCCACACCAGGGTCGCAAACGGCTACCCGTACCCGGCCGGGTATGGGTAGCCGGGTATCGGGTAGGGTACGGGTATCAGGTACCCGTTTGCGACCTCTGGCATGCAGTGCGGGCTCCCACAAGCGGGAGCGGTAGAGTGTTAGCCCAAGGACAGGGTTGCCCCGGGCCATGGCACTCTGGTTGATCCCGTAGGCACGTGATCCGGAGTGTCCACAGAGAGGCCCCCAGGTGGGGAGCTAGGGGTGATCACGTGTCCAGGGAGAGCTCTCGAGAAGGATCGAGAGGGAGCTGGAACGCTCGAGAAGGTGGGCGGGGCCGAGGGCGGAGCCGACCCCGACCCGGGAGGATATAAGGTGGGTCCCTGGGAGGGACCGGGGTCGCTTCGTTCTACAAGCTGGAAGCTCCACATTCTACGTCTGAAGACGCGAGTGAGAGTCCGGTCCATCGTAGCCCAGAGGTCGCAACCGGGTACCCGATACCCGTACCCTACCCGATACCCGGCTACCCGTACCCGGCCGGGTACGGGTACCCGTTTGCGACCCTGGTGCGCTCGGGTACGGGTACGGGTAAGGAATCAAAACTCGTTTGCGACCTCTGTCGTAGCCATAACTCCTGTATGGTTGTGTTGTTAGCTGGGTGGTCACCACCCTCGGCTGTATCTGGTAAAGGGGCAGTTATCCCTTTTGTATATACGTGTTGTGAAATAAATGTGTTGCCTCTCAAGAACAAGGTCTGTGACTCAGTTGGACTCACTACACATCCATGCAATAAGCTTTTTTGAATGCATGCAAATATTTTTGAAGAAAAAGCAATTAAGAGTGTTGATAAACGAGTGAATTGGTCAATAAAGATTTCACTGAAACTAAGCGATAATACGTTGCCGGGAAATTCCGTACCAAAGTACAATGTACTTTGCATTATTGCACTCTGGGACATACATTTACGCGGCAAGCACAACCAATAAAACCAAAACCTTTGGCATTTTTACGAGTTGGTGATTCATGACAACACTTTTCACTTGGACAAGTAAAACGTATTATTTATTGCTACACAGGTTATAAATTTAAAATATAACTTAATACATGGGTTTACTCAATACGTATCACGATCATGTTCACTGCTAAGTTGACGTCCTTCCCTTCGTTCTCAAAGTCAGGTCTCGAAAAGTTTGCCAAACGCTTTGCAATATTTATTGAGCAATTTTTTTTCCAGCTGTGATTGTTATCCTTTCTTCATGTTTTCCCCACACTAGTCGGCTAAGCTGCATGCACTTCTCCATTGATAAAATTCCCAAAAAGTAAACACGTTGTCAAGCCTGGAAGACATTTGGAGCCTATAACAGCACTCGGCATCACTCATGTCACCGTTTTCTTTCAACGAAGTAAGCCAGGCTCTTAACTTCTTCTCACAATGGGGCCTCGTCCTCCATAGGCCCGAGCCCACTTTCTTCTAGCTCTAGCCACTGATTTAACTCGGCTAACCAACCTAGACACTACCTGCTGTCTTCGAACACAAGTCACAAATACAAGTCACAGAGTTAAGCTCAGCTAACCCGAGATACGAGCCAATGTCTTATAACACAAGTCACGGAGTTAGCACTAGCCAATGTCTTTTAATCTTGATTTGAAGCTTTCGTGACTGCAGGAATCCATAATCTTCGGTTATTTCGGTAAAGTCATGTAGGTAGAAAAATAATAGATCACGACGTTTCAATCGGAACACAAGCAATCGTTATCAGGTGGACAACACAGCAAGAAAAAGCTGCTGAAGTAGGCGAAAGATCTGCCGTGGCACGAGGTTATATAGGCCTCGGCAGTAGGGGAGAGAGAGAAGGGGGGAGGAGGCGGAGCACAAAATGGACGCCGCGGCAGCACCCAGGTCACTGGAGTAGAGATCGGAGAGAGATGAACAGAGAGAGAGAAAGACACACAGAGAGTCGGAAATAACAGCTGACATAGGCAGGTAGGATGTATACATCACAGTCAGTTAAGACTTCACCTGGTTAATAACGTCCTTCCAATGATTGCTCAGTTTTTACCCATCTTCTCGGTTGAAGTTGCGTCTGTGTTTATATATCTGGATGGCTTTATGAACAAATCTCTGATAATAGCTGGTGGGTTTGCAGAGTACCTTCGTCTTATAAAAGTCAAATTCGTGTGAGCCCACAGTGTTAAAACAATTATCAGCAACGGCAGAGGTATTGGTCCTACCGTGTTTCAGATCTGCCTTGTGTTCGCGAACGCGGTCCGAGACATGTCATTTAGTTTTCCCAATGTAACTGCTGCCGCAGCCAGAACTCAGTTTGTAGACACCTGGGTATTGCATATCAGGAATCACATCCTTTACAGATGGGATCAAATCACCGACTTTGTGTAATATTTTTGGTAACCCCTACTATGTATGGCAAAGTGATGGTATTCGTTGAATCCTCAGATGGTTGTCTCCCCATGGCTGGGGAGACAGCTTTGCGGATTGTATAGGTCAGAATATCCGTTCATCCTGAGAGCTTGGTGTATGTGTTCCAGCTCACTGGCTAGGTGATGCTGGTCGGAGATGCAACGGGCCCTATGGTGTAGTGTTTTGATGAGGGAATTCTTCTGGGCTGGATGGTGGTGGGAGTCGGGCTTTAGATAGGCATCCGTGTGGGCCGCTTTCCTGTAGACAGAGTGTCCCAACGAGCCAACAGGTCTCTTCTCGATCAAAACATTCAGGAATAGTAGCTTGCCATCCTTTTCCACTTCCATGGTGAATTTGATAGATGGGTGTACGGAATTTATGTGGTTGAGATATCGGTTCAGTGCTGGCAGGCCATGTGGCCAGATGACGAACGTGTCATCTACGTATCTCTTCCACAAGGAAGGACGTAGGGTGGATATTTGGATGGCATCTGTCTCAAATTTCTCCATGAAAGCATTCGCTACCACTGGCGATAAGAGAGAACCCATTGGGGTACCCTCATTTTGTTGAACCGGAATTGATAGCTTGAAAGCATTTAGCGTGGGGCCCTTGAAAGTGCGGGTCCCGTAGCATTATGTAGCTACTTTTACTACGAGGATCAACCCGTCTCCTCGTCCAGGGGTCGCCAGCCTGCGTCTCCGGAGCCGCATGTGACGCCTCTTTGATTTTCAAACCCCTGGCGGCTACTTGCAGATGTTTTACTGCCACCAAGTGGGCAGCCGTTTGTTGAAAAACAACCTAATCTTAAACACTATTTAACGCAAAGATCATCTTGGTTCTTTCGGTAAAGTCACGTAGAAGGGAAATAATAAAATAATAAAAATAAAACATAATAAATTAATTCTCACGACGTTTCGGCCACAACGCAAGCAGCCATCCTCAGGTGAAGAACAGGTCTGTCGAGAAGACAGCGATAGACCTGTTCTTCACCCGAGGACCTGAGAACGGCTGCTTGCGTTTTATTTTATTATGTTTCATTTGTATTATTTTATTATTTCCCTTCTACGTGACTTTACCGAAAGAACCAAGAAGATGAATCCCTGCAATCACGAAAGCTTTAAATCGAAATTTAACGCAAAGATAATTTGAATTTTTTAATAAAATGAAAAGTCACTATGGAATTGTCTTGGTGACACCAAAATGTACAAGGGTCAAATTGTATTCATAAAGAACATCTAAAGGGGGGACAACGACTAAATGGCCGCAGTTTATTCCATCACCTATTTTGTTGATTTCAGTCGGAATTTGTTTCTTTGTCATCTGTCGTAGAACCTGCCATGTTTGTGCACGTGTACAAGTAGCTCTGCGTGTGATGCAAGGCTCTTGGGCTACTTTGGTCCAAAAAAAAAACTAAATAAAAAATGTCTCCTTCGTAAAAGGTTGTCAACCCCTTATCTCTTAGTCCGGTGTAAGCACGTGGGGGGGGGGGGGAGGTTGGGGGTATTGCGGAGACGCAAGACACCCGCAGCAGTCTGCACCCATAACTCGCTCGCATTCTATCCAAAGAGCACACGTGGTACGTATTGCAAAGCGGCAAATCTAAACAATGTCTTCAATGCATAGGCTGAGTATGGACAACTTTATTAATTTTTTTCCAAAGCAATGCACTTTAGTTTTCCTGTGAAGGGTACAGAATAGATTTTTCATGAACGTTTACACAAGATTCATGAAATCTACACCAGCTGTACATTTTAGTTTTGTGGTGTAATCAAAATTTTGTAAAAATGTATAAACATAAACAACCCAGTTGTTGCAGAATAATAATAATACAAGTCTTGAACACATTGCTCACACTTAGTGCACATATATGGATTAATTTACTGAGAGATCAGGAGTTTAATCGCTTCGTTTAATGACACGATTAATGGGGCGAATAATTACACAGTATACAAAAGTAATATCAGCTACAAGATAGTTGTAACAGACGTGTTCACCGCATACGCTGATGGGCGGCATTCTTAATAACTGGCAGGTGTCTAATCTTCCACAGCAAGCTGTTATCTCTCCACTACGTCGACAAAAATGATTTAGATCTTACATTTTGATTTCATAAGAAACACGTAATAGCAAAAAATTAAGACACACCATACAGTACAGTAAATATGTACACGTGCTGCGTAGAAAAGGTGATCATTAGCGGGAGACGTTTTCATCTCCTTCATAAGTGAAATCATAAATTGCAATTTGTATGTTACAGATGTACAATTGCGCGTGGTGGGAAACTCTCCACGTCTACACGCACCGCTGAACGTCGGGAGAACGTTCGCTTCACTGGAGTTTTTTTTTGTGTTTTTAAGAGGAGTTGTAGGTTCTTGGGTTTTCTGATGATGATGATAATGAATAAATCTGGTTATCGGATACGAACGAAATAAATCATATCATTCTTCGGAAAAGACACAGGGTGAAGGACATGGCAAGCAGCTGTTGAAGAGAGAGAGACACACACAAAAACACTGTGTTATTGATGATTCTTGTGTATAATATGAAACCCAAGGAGTGCCTGGGGGAGACATGTGATGCAAACCAATGTGATATATAAACAAAATCATAAACCTGATATCAACATTGGCATTAAGCGAACATTTTAGCAACATAAAATCATACGTTAACAATTTGAAAAGTTAGGGAGTATACTTTTTTTATCGACACATAACTAATTTTCCAGTAAGCGACACTGCAAGTTATATTTGTTGTACATTTGACATTTTAAAATAATAATATAAAATTTCTCTACATTTGTTATATATTGGGTACAAACCATATATGTGACCTAAAGTTTGATTTGAATAAGTTTACTAAATGTGTGCCATCGAACAATGTGTTCATTTCGTAATGAACGGAAACCTGTATAAACATTTAAGCAACAATAAATCATGCATTAACAATGTAAAACAATTAAGGAGTATACTTTTTATGTACATATAACTCAATTTCCAGGAAGCTACACTTCAAGTTATATTTGTTGTATATTTGACATTTTACGCAAAAAATATGTAAAAATGGCACTACATTTGTTATATATTGGGTATAAACCATACATGTTTGATTTTGTATACTTTATTTTAATAAGTATACTAAATGTGTGCCCTGGAACAATCTGTTTTCATTTCGTAATGATTGGAAACCTGTAAGGGGTGCCAGCGGTCTAAACGGCCACGTCAGGAGGATTCTAAATTGCCTTTTAAGTAATGTTGTACTGTCCCGTGAAGAGAATCAATGCACTTACACAATTTAATTTGGACATATACAGAGTGGAAATTCAGGAACCATTTCAACAATCAATCCCAGGAATTATTCTTCCCCGTTCGAGACGTTGACTTCCTCGCCGGTACGAAAGAGTTCGTGGCTTCGATCCTGACCCTGACGACGCATACCTGTTGTACATTTGGAGTTTGCGTGTTTTACTCCCGTGGTCGCATGGATTTTAATACCTCTCGTCCGGTTTTGCCACTCCGAATTTTAGAAACCCGCGTTTACATTACTTCGCTGCTGCGTGAAATTCCCACGTGATGATGATGACGATGATATGAACCACTGCGATGAGTTATCACGTGTGGCCAGGTCACCTCTGACAAAGAGCTAACAACTCAGTGGGGGCTTTGGTTGCTGATGTAAAACAATTATTACTGAAGAGAAATATAACGAGAGAAACAATTCCGGAATGGATTGCAAAAATTGATTCCTGAAGGACGCATTGAGCCAAACAATCGTTGGAATTGTTTCCTCTCAACTACAATGTGTGCACACAGGATGGTATTAGAATTCCGTGGGGGTGGTTTCAATTTAGCATTTTCTTTTAATTACAGCCCTGGAGGAAAAGGGGGATGCGGGCGTAAGATGAAATTTCATCGCAGCAAACAAAACGTGACCTTGATTGCCAATCCTTAATGGCTTTCTGCATAATAGCGGGCGGTGTTTTGAGAACAAGGCATTACAATTATCCGCAGTCTCAATTTATTTCTGGATATTACGTTGACCTACTTCACCATTCATTCATCGAAAATATTGTGCACGGTGGGCTTGCTGACTGAAAGATATGGTCGCCGACAGAGCTATTCCTTGTGTGGCAACGGATTTGGTGATGCTGCGCTGGCTGGCAGTGGTGCACTAGCACAATTGACACACATACACTCGTCACCAACACTGTGTGGCCTTAACAGAAAGAAATATTGAAGCGGCCACATTTTGGGCAATTGCCCTCCAGCTTCATAGTGCAATATATAGCACGTGCTGTGGAGAAGGGTCATTGCCAGAAATGTCACCCATTATATACAGCGTGGCCAAAAAGGCTGGCAGTGTGCACAAGCACATGTATTCCTTTATTTTAAGGAAGTGTTGTTGACGACATGGCCGGATTAAGGTTCTTATAGGCCTTCGGCACTTCTGTTTCATAGGCCTTCAGTGATAACTTCAGTGATAATGTCTTGTCTTTCCTTGCCCCACTCTCTATTGAGAATTATACTGTGCAAAAAACACAATTTGAAGGTATCATTGCAAATTTTTGCATGAAAATAAGTCGAAAAATTCATCTCTGGTGTTAATTCCTCTCACCTTATGAAAAAAATATTAACATTGACATGATTCTGCCTCTTCATATATACACTGTGTCTATATTAATATATTTATTCAACAATATATCTTGGTTACATTTTGTTATCATACAAACAACAAAAAAACATGGTTAAACATTTTTTTCGTAGGCCCTTTAGTTTTCACTGTGCCTATTGGATAATACGGCCCTGGTTGATGGGCGTGTTGAGTTCTATTGGCTGGCAACAGTCACAGAAGGACATCTCCAGTGGCTTGCATTAAGTGATTGAAAGCACGCGTTAAAACAAACATCGTGGGGCCAACGCGTTTTTGTGAAGTGCACATGCTAGCTACAGATTCAGTAAACATTGTGATCAACTAACGGGGGTGCCATTACCTTCAATGTAAAGTTCTGCTACTGAAGAAATGACATCGGATGGTGTAGTGAATTAATATTCTCAACAAAAACAAATTGACTTCACATTGAGTGTGTATAATTGTGCATTTCATACCTGTATTAGGAGTAACCCTATGACCACTCCTCCCACAGTCAGTATGTAGTTGTGAAGGGACTGCATAATTTTCGTGTAGCATCCCTGTCAAGGAACATTTCCAGCAGAAATTAGTTTCGTCGCTAATCTTGCTTCATTACGTCGGCAGACCTGAAAACAAAAATTCGTGTGTGCATTCTACGCGCTAAGAATACTTGACCGTGAGACCATCTGCCACCCGGTTTTTGCTGACAGGTCCCAACTCACTCCCTTGGTGCGGCTCCGTAAAAATCACTGCTACCCTGGGGGCTTTAAGGAAGAGCAGTCCTATGTCTGTCAGTGAAATTAAACAATTAAACCATGACGCTGTGCTTTTTGCAGCTGCTCACAGCTTAGCGCAGCCACGCTGCATTAGGATCTGTCCAGCATCCCACTAAATTATAAATGGAAAACACATAAAGCATAACGACCACCCAGTCTCCACATCTAAATAAAAAAAACTATATTTTTAATTCAATCAGCCTATTTGGCTTTCTAGGCCAATGTTATCAAGCAGCGTTTGTTTAAGTGAGCAAAGCGTGAACCAGTTTCAACTGTCTGCGTCTTAATAGCAGAGCCAGGCTTGTTAAACAATTGCTGTTGGATTAGCAGGTACTATTGGTAAGAGCACTCCACCTAAACTGTGAGGCCCTGTTAATAGCGAACAGCAAAGTTATATGAAAGAGGTGTTTGTATTTAGTTTTGAGATGCAATTGGACGAAAGATGCTATACATAATAATAATGATAATCATTATTATAGGTATGGAAAATATAAGACTCTAATTTACCATGCCTGAAATACCAATGTTAAATTGAAAAAAACGTGACAAATTTAGCAATAGAAAAATATGTACTTGACAGTAATTAAAATGAAAGTGTGTGTTTGGTTTGTTCTTCTGTATTTTATATTTTACGTGATATTTTTTAAACACAATAGCCAGGGACATAATTCCATAATTAGTACAGAGCATATGCCGAAAAACAATCATAAGAAAATTAACCTCAACAGCTACAAAATAATAAATTATAATGCAAATCTCAAAATGGAGTGGTTTCTATTATTCCGAGAATGACATATCAATAACAATAATTATTTTACTGCCCTTTGTCAATCCACTGCTGAATAAAGGATTCCACAAGCCATGCTGGCCTAGGGGATTGTTACCATGCTGGTCAATGTGGGTTGGTGAAGTGTGGGCCTGATGTTAGCCATGACCAGGAATTGAAATGTGGGTCACTAGGTTCATAGTGCAGCGCCCTCACCACTTCGCCACCACACCTGCCAGACATAACAACATCTGCGGGTAATGAATACAGTGAGGGAAAAAAGTATTTGATCCCCTGGATTTTGTTGTTTTTATTCTGTCTCTCACTGTTCAAATAAACCTACCATTAAAATTATAGACTGATCATTTATTCGTCAGTGGGCAAACGTAGAAAATCAACAGGGGATCAAATACTTTTTTCCCTCACTGTAGATGCTGTAAAAATAATCATCACCCCACCTCCATTTACAGTTCTCTCAGTCACTCAACTCCAGTGTCAGCCATGGCCGGGAATCAAACTCAGGCTTCCATAGCGCTGTGCGCACTAACCGCTGCACCACCGCTTCCCCTTCATTCGGATAAAATTGCAAGATTTAACAATCGTTCCACTGAATTTCCAAAATTTCGAAACTTACATCGTCATCTGTTTTGTAGCTCTGAATCGTATTACTATGACGATATCATCACGATGAGTCATACTCCCAGTATGAACATCGTCTTCAAATCTTGAGCCACTGTCCAGTAAATGGTTTCCCCACGGCATAGCCATTCATCACGGTTCTGCAGGTCCTCTTGGAAATGTATCCCGAGATATGTTTTGTTAAGTAACAGATATGCGCCAGGCTCTCTTCCACTCCTCCCCTTCCACCCTGGAGGTGCCTGTGTAGGTACCTGCTCATTCCGGTGTCGGGGGTCCCCCAGCAAGCATCTGAGCCTGTCCATCGTGGCCTCACTCTCTGCGTGAATGTCCCCCTTGCAGCATGCCTCTGGGATTATCTTGCCCGAGGACAGCTGCCAGAAGAGGGTTCCTTCCCAAAAATCCGAGGGACCTCGCACCCCACAGCATCCGAACTGGATATGCAGCGGGGGAGACAGTGGTGGGGGCAGGGGGAGGGAGGGAGGGGGAGGGAGGGGAGGGAGGGAGGGGGAGGGAGGAGGGGGATGGGGAGGGAGGGAGTCAGGAGAAAGAGGTTCAGGAGGTTCAGGAGGGAGGGAGGGAGATTTTACAACATCAAAATCAGCATCTTTGTATAGACTGGAGGAGGAGGAATCTGATGAGCTATGAAGCTCTTTTTTCACAGATGTCCAGCATGGGCGGGTCAGCGAGTTTCTACAACAGCAAACGGTACAGCAACAGCAACAACAAAAACCGATAGGAGTGCAAATGAGAGAAAAAGGTAAGCGAGTTGCTAGCTATAAATGAATAAAAGTGTTTTATAAATTAATTAAATAAGTCCGATTTATCAGGCTTCGGCAAGGCAGCAAAAACAACAACATAACCAGGGATGGGTGGATGTTCCAGCGGCACGGCATTGACAACAACAACAGCAACAAACAGATCCCATGAGAAAAAGCACTCTTTACCGTCTTCATAGCTGAATTCCAAAACCTTGAGAAAACATCAGTGGCGTTGTCTCCTTGATAGCGCATCTTGAGCTCAAGAGCAAAATAATCTTCGTTTAACTACGCAGAGGGAGGGTTAAGGGGGAAGCGAGCAAAACGGAATTACCGATGGAAGCATTACGTTGCGAACTCCTGACACATATTATTCATATCAATGCGTTTATGCGTATATTGTAGACTTTTGAAGGCTTTGTCTGTGAGTAAGTGTTTGCGAATGAAAAGGGTAACTGTTGATCTTACAATTTAAGAACCGTCAATATCGATGTTGTTTTTCCTCCCTAAAATTTTGTCGATCAGGGTCCCATGGCATGGTGTCAGCGTCCAACTATTGTTCTACTCAATCTCTCAGGATCGTTTTATCTCACCCCGATGAAGAAAGGGGCATTGATCCCGTGTTGTAAGAAACAAAAACTAATTTGAAGAGAGACACAGAAAAACAACGCCTCTGTGTCGAGGCTTTAAATAGAGAGTGAGGGGGGGGGGCAGAGAGAGAGGGGGGGGTGTCTCTCTTTGCGTGTCTGTGTGTGTCTCTCTCTGCTTGTGTGTCTGTCTGTGTGTCTCTGTGTCTGTGTTTTGTCTCGCTCTCAAATTTAGCCATCTTTGGAAGAATGTAATCAACCAGGTAAGGGTGTTGACTGTTGTGTTAGCCGACTCTCTGTGTTGTATTGCATTATATTTCTAAGTTTACTAGGTATGTTTTTTCTCATTCATTCTTACCGAGTGACGGTTGCTTGTGTTATAATCGAAACGTCGTATTCTATTATTATTTAATTTATTTTCTTTCTACGTGACTTTACCGAAAGAACCAAAGAGTAATTCATGCAGTCACGAAAGCTTCAAATCAAGTTTAAATCTTGAAGCTTTTTTCAAGAAGCCTGCATTCAATAAACTGAGTACGCAAATCGCAATAGGCAATAAATGTGGCATTGAAGCACGTAAAAAACGTAACTAATCCTCTAGTCTGAGAAGAGGTGAGCGTGAAGAGGTAAAGGTGCAGCTCCGCAACTTGTGTGTCACGCCACTGCTGACAGAATGGCCTCAAACAGAGGGCGCTCTAGAATCTAGACAGTCCCTATAGAGGGTAACTTGGCCTACTCTTCCACACCGGCCAGACACCGTAGAAGAGGTGGAGGTACCCATACTTTACCTCGCCACACGCGGCCTGCTGATCAGCTAACTGTGGGTGTGTAACCCATTTACACTATTGGAGTGAAGAAACTTGACCACTGACTTTGCAAGCCAGAGAGTCGAACTATTGACCTCTAGGTTGAAAATTCGGTTGTGTTAACCATTACGCCACAGCAGCATCAGGCAGGATAAGTACAGGGGACTCCTCTACTTATGAACGAGTTAGGTTTCAGAGGTGTCTGTTCGGAAGTCGATTTGTTCGTAAGTTCAACTTTACTCCTCTCGATTCCAAACACGTTGTACGGCATGTACACTAAACACGGGGAATGGCTTTAAAAGATGTATCATTATCTGTAGATGTAGATGCCACTGGCTCTTCATGTTCTGCAGATGTAGATGCCACCACCGCCATCTATTGCGCGGCGGTTGAACTTACGTCTCTCGGTCCGAACAGGCAACTGGACATATGGACAGGTTTGTTCGTATCTCTGAAAGTTCGTAAGTCGAATGTTTAAAAGTAGAAGAGTCCCTTTAACACGCAAATTTCCCAATGAAGCTGGATGTAATTACCAGCGAAACGTCGTACTCAAATTTTAAATTATGTTGATTTCACTCTTCAACACACCGGGGCTAAAGTAGTGAACTATTTGTCTTTTGTAAACGTGACACATTTTTAACTGTTTGGCCGTGTAGGGTGGTGGAGGGTTACGACACATTTATAAATAACGCGATCTAACCCAAAAACCTTTATTATGAAGAGGAGTCCCTGTATGGCAATAAATAAACGACAGGTCGGTGGGGACGGAGGGTCGTGTTTTGTTTAAGTAGTTTGCTGCAATTGGCCACTGTCGGAAAGAAGGAACGATCCCCAATTCGTGTCTAAAACACAAGGGGCTGGGTTCAATGTTTGCGATGGATAGAAGCCACGGTTTTGGAGTACAGTACCTGTTCTCGAAAAACAAATGCCACGATCGCCGTAACTAACTCGACCATGAAGATTATCAGCAGCAGAATGAAGAACTGGAACCGAAAACACACACCAGAACAATCACTTGCATCGTTGTGGCTGAAAATACAAAGGTCAACAATGATTCACTCTCCCACGTGTTTTTTTTCTCACCTAGGCAGAACAGGGGGACACGAGTCACTTAGATGGGGTCACAGAGAGAGATGTGTACGTATGTTGAACTTCTTTCGTACTGCACGTACCCAACTGTGCTAATCGGAGGTGCGGGGAGAAGGACAACAGTTCAGTTTCTGAATAAGCTACCAGTACATGCAGCGAAACGTCGGATGCCATGCCTTACAACAATGCAGTGCACCCCAAAGAAAAGCATTGGAGAGCTATAGAGCACGACTTCAAAATAACTCTGCTGTAGTATCAATCATTCCTCTAACAAAGTACAACCAAATTTCGATTTAAAGTTTTCGTGACTGCAGGGATTCATTTTCTTGGTTCTTTCGGTAAAGTCACGTAGAAGGGAAATAATAAAATAATAAAAATAAAACATAATAAAATAATTCTCACGACGTGTCGGCCACAACGCAAGCAGCCGTCCTCAGGTGAAGAACAGGTCTGTCGGACGCTGTCTTTCCGACAGACTTGTTCTTCACCTGAGGACCGCTGCTTGCGTTGTGGACGAAACGTCGTGAGAATTGTATTTTATTATGTTGTATTATTATTATTTTATTATTTCCCTTCTACGTGACTTTACCGAAAGAACCAAGAAGATACAACCAAATTGCCAATTTATTCTTAATTTTGGAGCTTTCGTGACTGCAGGAATTATTCTTTGTTTTTTTCGGTAAAGTCACGTATAAAGATAAAATAATAAATTAAATAGCATACGATTATTTAATTTATTATTTTATCTTTATACGTGACTTTACCGAAAAAAACCAAAGAATAATGCCAATTTATTTTCATGGTATACTTTAAAAGCCTATCGTTCTATTGGGCCCGTGTTGTAGTGAGATGAGGAGCTTGCCAAATAAGGTCCGGTAAAGCGGCAGCAGTTATTTCGGAAGCCTGGCTGCTGATGAGCACCTGATGGGTAAAACCGGTTCAGAATTTGCACGCCTCTAGACATTTTCTCTGGTTAACAGCGGAACAGTTGGCTCGGAACTAAAAGAAAATGTTGTTCATATGTGCGAATACAGAATGGAGATTGATATATTTATTCAATTATCCAAAATGCTCGACTCAGTTGCTCAGTGAGTTTTTCTACTCTATTTAAATCACATTACGTGAATGTGGCCCGTAAGATGATACCTTACCAACAATATTGTCAATGTCTCCGCGTCTTATGCCAGTATTCTTGTCATTAGCTCTCCACCACATGACGAAGATTGTCACGTTTACAAAGATATCGTTTACAGATTTCACGACTGAATTCCACATCAACGTACGTTTCTCTTAAACTGCTTTGATCTTCATCAGGTAACGATTTATTAGTTACAAATGACAACTGCTCAGTACATACATTTGATACATGTAAAGAGGTTTAATTAGAAACTCATAACAGAGCCTATGAAGTCCCTACCAATCCTTGACATATATATGAGTGTGTGTATATATATGTATTTACGGTAGTGTGAGGGGGAGCGGTAGTGTAGCGGTTAGCGCTACGCTGCGCTACGAACCCGGTGACCCGAGTTCGATTCCCACTCACGGCCAAGACCAGTGACGATTATCTGAATCAGTCCCGATTATCCTTGGCTTCCACGAAGTCGACTCAGTTGAAATGAGTACCTGGTGCGATGTGTGAACATCGCCGCTGGGAAGACAAAGACGGCCGGGCGTGGTGCTGGCCACCCTACCCCCTCGTGTGCCGTGCCGGGCTTCATATGTGCTCGCTTACAGCACTTGCCCCAACAATATATGAAGGCTATACGGGCGATTTTTGTCTTTGTTACATATATTCTCTCTTATGCCATTACGTGCAGCCTCATAAAGAGCTCATCTTACATCCTGGGGCACATATGGTGGAATCGTCTAATAGCACTTCGAAACGCTCTCTAAGAGCAGAGAGAGAGAGAGCGATCTTTCGTCTCACATGGCAGCAGATTTGTTTAAAGCGTGACAATTCTACTTCAATGCCAATGTGACTCGTGGACTCCAGGTTCATAAATGCAGCCAGGAAACAATCATGCACAGCGGTTGGCAACGCAGTGGAGATCAAAGTGACAACGGCTCTCATTCCTAATCCTTTCGTAGTTTTACGAATGGTTACATTTTAAAATAGCCGCAAAATGTCGACTACTCTGATGCACAGGCATATGTTGAAGTGGAAATGGTGTGACATCAGGATGCGAGATGAGACATTCTAAATTGAAAACGTTTTTCTTTAGTGCTGCTTTTTGTGTTTAGTTTATTGTCCTTCCCCCCCCCCCCCCGCACCTATTAGCATGGTGGCTCCGATAAGCACGGTTGGCTAAGTGTGAGAAGTTCAACATACATGCATGTGTAGTGGTGGTATTGACGTGCGCCGGCAGTGATGGATCACGGGGCGCGGGGTTGGGCACGCGGTGTGGGCGTGGCATGGACGCGCGCGCCGGTGGTGAGGCGCGCTCACACAAGCTGGGAAAAGAGGATCGTAGCGAGTGCGCAGTGATTGGTCAGATAAGTGAGTACTCTCAGCGACGTCCGCAGGAGGGGTATAAAGGGGGACGCGCGAGAGCACTCGTGGTCAGTGTTAACCAGTTGAAGACCGAAGACGGGGTGGAGGAGGTAGGGGCCCTGTGTGGCTCGGAGCCGAGACTGGGGGGACCGTAGTCCGACGCCCGTGTGGGTCGGGACGGTGGTACCCAGAGCCGAGACGGGCACCCCGGCTGGGTGTGTCCCGGAAGGCTACAGGGCGTAAGAGCCCGTGTCAGTACAGCTGAGTGGGTGTTGGTCACCCGTGTAGCTGAGTGGGTGTTGGTCACCCGTGTAGCTGAGTGGGTGTCCGTCACCCGTGTAGCTAAGTGGGTGTTGGTCACCCGTGTAACGAAGTCGTAGCTGAGTGGGTGTCCGTCACCCGTGTAGCTAAGTGGGTGTTGGTCACCCGTGTAACGAAGTCGTAGCTGAGTGGGTGTCCGTCACCCGTGTAGCTAAGTGGGTGTTGGTCACCCGTGTAACGAAGTAGGGTGTTAGTCATCCGTGTAACTACAAGTTGGTGAAAATAAAGAGTGTGCTACCCGTGAAGTCGTCTCCTGCCGAGTTACTACTTTACAACTGGCGTCAGAAGTAAACCTGTCTTCAAGGAGAATGGACACAAGGAAGACTTCTCGTTCCCACGTGCAAGACCGGGGAGACGACGACGTACCGGTGACACCACCCTCGGGAGGAGAGGACGAGGAGTTGCCGCCGATGCAGCACTTCGCGGAAATGGCCGATGCTCCGCCCGCCTCCGACACCAGCCTGCAGGACGCACACTCCCGCCTGGCGGAGTTGCTGCTCGCCGCCGCGGCGATCTTGGCGGAGATCTCCGTTCCAGCGGCCGGTGGAACGCCTGCGGGGTTGGAAGAGGCGGCGCGGCTGGAGGGTTCCCGCCATAAGGCGTTTCGCGCCAAAAGTTTGGGAGTTGGCGCCATTTTTGAGGGTCCGCCTCCGGTTGGCGGGAAACGCGGACACCACGTGGCCAGAGGTCTCCACACAGCGCAGCCCGCGTCATCGGCGAGCGCCGGAGCTCTCCATTTTGCGCCTGCAGAGGGAGCCGACATTTTCTACAACCACAGCAGCGCGCGGGAAAATCGTTCCAACGACGACGACGACGATCGAGTTCTCCAGCAACGATTGCCCGCGCTGTCGGTGTTCAAGGCGGACGGGGGCGACTGGGGAGCCTTCCAGCGACGGTTCATCGCGCATCAAGAAATGTCGGGGTGGTCCGACACCACGGCCCTGCGCGCGCTGCCAGCGATGCTCGACGACGACGCGCTTGCGGCCTTCACGTCTGCCCCGAGGTCGTCCCGCTCAACGCTCCAGGCCGCGCTGCACCTGTTGGCCAAGGTGTTCGGGCCGCCCTCGACCTGTCGCCACCAGTTCTACGATCGGCGGAAGGTGGTTGGAGAAACAACGCTCGCCTATCGCACGGCGCTGCTCGCCCTGGCGGATTCAGCTTTTCCCCGCATGGACAAGGAGGGGAAGGACGCCATGGTGACGGAGCAGCTGCTGGCGCTGGCTCACGGATTGGGAGTTCCCATTAATACGGCGGACGAGATGGACATCTGCTCCCTGGGGATTGCCACGAGTATCCACGCTTACGAGGTCCTACAGCGGAAGCCGACGGTCGTCTGCGCATCGGTGGAGAACGGGGCACCGGCCGCCACGATCATCGGACCTCAGCCTGCTGTGCCTCGGGAGGAGGCCTTCGCTGGTTCGAGGCCGGGGGAGTGGAGACCGGGAGGTCGTTCGCCCACACGCTCCTCCCGCAAGCTGGAGCAACCGAAACCTACGACGTCCCTTGTCGTCTGCTACAACTGCGGCCTTCGGGGCCACGTCGCGGCCGGGTGCCGGGCCCCGCGTCAACGCACCGCGGGACCACGTCCGGACGACGACCAGGGACTCAAGACATCCCAACTGAACCCGGCAAGTCGCGGCACCTCACACGCTCGGTCCACACGCACGGCACGTTCGGGTCGCCGCTTAGCGGTGGGGGGACCGTGTATGGGCGCCGGGGGTTCGGTTCGGCGAGAGGGGTCCGCGTACGGCCCGAAGGCAGTCGAGTGGTCCGAATTGGCCCACAGGATTGTGGCTGCGTCGGCCGGGTCGTCCGTGGTAACGGGGTACATTGACGGGGTTGAGGTCCGGGTGCTCGTGGACACGGGTGCGTCGGCCACTATTATTTCGGACCTTATTTATAATATTCTTCCCGTACAATGTCGACCACTTCTGCCGGTGGACGTACCATTTTACGCGGCAAACGGGGGATCTTTGGGAATCATCGGCCAGATTCGGGCGAATATTTGTATTGGCGACATTAAATTGGCGGGTCCTATTTTTGTATCATCATCGTTGGCCGTTCCTTGTTTACTAGGCA